AACTTCTGAAAATCAGAATTTTCCATTCACCATGTACCAGAATTGCTATTAAATAGCTCCAACATGATACCAGGATATGGTGGTCCCATTTTTCACCTGGGGTGTGCAGGCAAGGATGAATCAGCTGTAGTATTCACTTTGCAATGCCAGTTTATACTTTCTTTGTTCTATTTAGTATTTACTGCATCCCTGAACGTCTGAAGATGCCCTAAAGATGGATTGAGCTGTGATTAACAGATATCAGCAATAGCTTGTACTCTCTTATCTTCTCCTTAAAGGCTTAATTTTGCTCTATAGACTTTTGTTTGGTAGTATAACTTGCAAAATAAAAAATTCTGTCTGTTTATGTTGGAAGAGGTCCTTTGAAGAACTGCATCAGGATCATCCTCCTTTGTGTCAACTTTTAAGCTTATCTATCCTGGGGGCTCTTTCATCTTCCTTTGTGGAACATTCAGTCCCGAACGCTCCTCATGAAGGAAGAAAATGCCTCCTGCTTTCAGTATGACTCTGCACTGACTTCCTATAGAGGCAGTAACTTCAGATCTCTTTGTTATACTTGAACTAGTTCATAACTGTAACTTTTGTGTGATGGCTACAGTAATAGCAAGATTATAGTGTGTTTTGATACTGCCCTGAAAGTAGACAGGTACATATTTGTAATAAACAAATTGGATTTGATTCTCTGATTCCTCCAATGATGGGATTCCTGATATCCAGTAAAAACCTAGCTCGTTTTCAATGTGTGAAACCGATTTGTGGAGTTGTTTCTTACTTGATTGTCTGAAATTCTGACTGGAGTCTGGAGGGAATATCTTCAGGATATTATACTACACATAGACAAGATTTAAAGCTTAAAGGGAAGCCTTAATTAGTTTTAAGTTCCCACATGACTTTTTTGCAGGAGTAGAGGTCTGAGTGCTCCTGTATTTTTTTGATAACTGTTATGTACATCAGCACGGCACTCTCACAGAGCCACTGGCATGGCTTAGAAGACCCAGATAAGAAGTTGCGAGGAGCTCCTCATCCAGCATGTGCCCTCTTTTTAAATCCACTAATCTTTTACCAGCTTTTAACACATGGATCTTTTGCCATTTCTTCCTTCACGCTGATAACTCTCTCCCCCTGACACCTGGATTTTCATTTTCCCTCCTCCATCATTTTTGTCTTTGAAGATATTTTTTTCTCCTGTCCCCGCCCCACCTCCCCCCAAATTGTCTTATGTCAGGAGGAAGGAGAACCAAGTTGCCTCCTCACCTGGTTCCTTTTTGTCATCGGATTTTTCTGACTCCCCACAAGAAGAAAGGGATCTGCAGTTTTGGAAATTGCTGTCCACTGGAACCAGTAAAGCTCGGTCCACTGACAACTGGAGCAAATAAGAGTCAGCCGGAGAGGAAGCAAACACCAGTGGGTTGATAACAGCATAGAAGCTATTGCTTTTTGTTTGCACACACATTTTAAATACACTACTGTTCACAGCGGCCAGGGATTCATATCCCCTTGCTCAACCCCAGATGGGGAATACATTTGTTCTTTCCCCAGCACTGAGCAGATTCTAAACCACAAATGATGTTTGGGTGTCTGCGTTTCTGGATGCCTCATGTGAGACTTCTTAAGAAGGAACCGATCTTTGGCAGCTAGGGCTCAGGTCATTTGACTGCTGGTCCTGGCCCACTGGTTGTAGCAGTGCACCCCAAATTTGAATTGTAACACATCACTCACTTGTGCACATGAAAAAAAGCCTGCAGCTTGCTAGCAGTTACTTCAGTTGCAAATAAACAGGAAGGGGTCCTAACTGTACTTGGGGCTCCTTGTAGGTAATTTACCTTTTGCCCCAGCTGAGAGAAAAATAAGTCACATGCAAACCTTTCTAGCCATTTTTTAGATAACTGTTTATTCTTCACATGCAAAACTAAATTAGCTGTACACGTAATGGAGATGTCTACATAGAAATTTAGTCGTATCCCTGTGTAAGTTTTCTGCTGGAGCCAACCTTTTTCCCAATCCCTTCTTGGGAGTCAGCCTTCTGCATAGAGCTCATCTGAACTCATCATTCAGACAATCCCAGCACTGTCCAGGAACCACCCGAACATTCCCTAACTCAGTATGATCATACCTCAGGGCGAGCTGGCCCCATGGCTTCACCACCCAATAAAAATCAGGCCTCCAATTAAATCATGACTTCAGGACAGCAACAGAAAAAGAAGTTTTCTGTGAGTTCAGTAGTTATATATATTAAAACTCTTACAACTCCTTCAAATAATTCTGTGCTACCTCTGGATTTTCCGTATCCTTGTGTTTTTCTTCAAGATCTCACACTCAGGGCAGCAGGAAACCAACACTGCCCATCCAAGTCTTGCTTTTTATTGCTCTGTGATAGAACAACAGCTATTTCTAGGTTTGCTGAGAACATACACGAAAGAGGCCAGCAAGATTTTATGACATTTTGTAGAACTGTAAAATAAATAAGAGAAAATGTGTTTGGGGTTTTTTGTGTGATTTTTTTTTTGAGTGCCACTGTAATTCAATATTTGGTTAAAAAACAAGAAGCATTTTATTTAATTTAATTTCATTCTCCACTATGTGGATCAATTAGTAACTGAGTACTACAGATGCGAATATGCAGTGATGACTCAGCTGTGGAATTTGAGATAAATGTCAGTAACATTTTGTAATGTATTGGTGGGTTTAGCTCTGCCTAATTGCATTAGGAAGAATAGGGTGGAAAGCCTTATCCTAAATTTAAAAAAAAAAAAAAAAAAAACATACCAAACCCAACTTGGGCTATTTTCATATACTCAAAGCCATTTGGGGAAACATTGTGTCTATTTTGCTTGAAAAGAGGAATCCAACATAGTTTGAAAGTTATGCTTATTTTGTCAGATAACAGGAACTATACCATCAGGCTGAATGCATCTGAACCCTCAACGGGTCCTGCAGGAACTGACCAAGGACTGGTAACAGCTAGTGCTGATCCTAACTCCTCATGCCCCTCTTCTCTTTGCACCAGCTTTTCACCTCTTCAGGCACTCCTAGCACCCCCAGTCTGAAGTAACAAGGGTTTGACTGTAAGGTCACTTCAATCCTAAAAACCATAATTCAGACCCCAAAACAAAAATATGAAAGGCAGATGTTTTCTCTTTATTCACTTCATGAATACTGCATACAGAGTATAAAAAACCTCCAAGTGCTTGTAATACCAGGCCCTAATTCTTAGTTCCCTGCTGGAGAATACTGGGGAGGGGTTTTTTTGTTGTTTTTTTAAAAGAATCTGGCAATATAGTAGACCAAGTTGCAGATCTTCCTCCCTCCAAATAAAGAAGCCTAGATAAAGATTGTCAGCTTACCCCCATTTTAAAAAAAAAAAAAAAAAAAAGAAAAAGGCAAGTGAAGGAACAAATGCCTTTTCTTAACATTTAGTGCTCAGTTCCACAACTGGTTTGTATATAGAGTGCTTCATTCCTGAGACCACATGAATGAGGCTCACAATCAGAGACTTAATGGGAAATACAATTGACTAGCTGCTGTGAAAACGAGAAAACTGTTTACTTTGTACAATGAACAAAGCCAAAGCTGTTCTACCAGTTGCAAAGGCAATGAAACATTTGCAGTTTGAATTTATATCCACAGAATCCTTTGATTTTGGGAACTTTTTGCATGCGTTACAAAACAACAGGAGCTGCCAAATGTTCCACTTTTCAAATCTAGTCCTTACTTAGTAGCTATAGAACCATGAATTCAGAAATGTGGGGTTTATGCTGCTAGTTAAAAGGCAAAAAAGCTCTGTGGGTTCTGGCTATGAACACACTTTTTTTTTCAGTTTTTTTTTCTTCAGTGTGTACCTACACCCACACCCTCTTGCTTTATGCTTTACAGCTATGCTGCTTTTGAGGCAGTTTCTTAACTGCATGACTTCAGTAGCTAGCTTTCATTTTAATTGTTTATTTTAATATCATGGTCTAGCTTTATCCTGATTCACTGTGATGCCTTTTAAAAATACTAATTTATGAAAATGTAATCATGAAAAATGTAAATTTTTTAATTTACCCAAGTATTACATTAATACTGTTTTCCATCCTATGAACTAAGATTTGTTTATCTACAGTAGGAGCTGTTGGTGCTACTGTGCAGCTGCTGGCATGAATTTTTTGCACTACCTTCTTAAGACCACTGAAGTGGCAGTTCAGAGGAGACCATCCAATACATGACTCTTGAAAGTAACTTACCCAAAGAGGTTATTCTTCTATTCTGATTACATTACTCTGCTGTGCTGTAAAAAGAAACTGGTAGAAACTAGAACTGGAGAGTATGACAGATATGACTGACAAACAGGGAGGTGTAGCTATATAGGCACCGGTGATCTTGGCCAGTTGAGACAGGTAAGCTGATGATACATGAGCCACCTCATTTGGATGCGCTGCGGAGAAAATTGTGACATTTACGTGCACTGGGCTATTCTGAAACATATATAACCTATGGGACCGGGAAAAAAATATGCAATCAGGATGGGATATTCAGATTACTGAAAAGCAAGTTTGACAGTTAGAGTATTCAAACTCCATTTGCTTCCATGTTAGTAACGTGGGAAAAAATCTGCTATGAAAAAGAGTGCAACTAGGTCAGTTCAGTTGATGGTACAGAAAATCTGGAATTAAACTGCAATGCTGCAGAGATTGTTAGCAATAATTCAAACTGCTATTTTCAAATTAAAGGATGAAGTGGACGTAACTTTGCTCCATTCATTGCATAGTATTTTTTCTATAAACTCAGTGCTGATCTACCTGATAGTGCAGTATTTTATTATGACTTTTGCATCCGGAAATTACATACATTTTAAAGAAATGTAAAACAAAAGACACAACTATAATCACTCAGAAAGTTGTTTGTTTTAAGGTACAAGGTTCCAATTTCACTAGAAGGAGGGACTAAATTCCACATGTACTGAGACCTTGTCTCCAGCTACACTTAACAAATACACCCTCATAAATTTAAAGAACCAAACATCAGTAGAAGCTAATCTTACAATAGAGACCAGTTCTCTACTACTGAAATTTGCATTTTCCTAATTTCTTTAAAAAAAAAAAAAATTGGTCCACATACAAAGTAAAATGGGTAAAAGTAAGTCTAAGTTGAGCAAACATCATCTGTCCTTTTTATTCAGTTCCAGTTGTAGTGGTCTCTTGGAGGTAAATCATAATGTGTTCTCTCTTCTTCTTCAGGTCCATAATCTAATGGCAGACCATAATTGTAATCAACTGTTACAACTGGTAATCTTTTAGTTTGTTCCATCTCTCTGGTAGTTTCACCTTGAAAAGGTTTTCTTTCATAGTCTATTGAGCTATCATCTTGGTGTACAGATGAAGATGGATGCATTATTCGTGAGGAATATGGTACAAATCTGTTTTTTCCTCTATTAAATTCATCTGAGGGATGCATTCTCCTATTGTCTTCAGAACAATTTGGTCGATTACTGTAAGAAGAACAAATATGAACAGTGAAATCCTTAGAAATAAAATAGTTGATTTATTGTTGGTGGCCACCATTAGAAATTAAACTTGTGTAACCTTGAAAGAACAATTCAGACCCTTGTTCTTGTTTTTACCCCCTAAAATTAAAATCCGCTCTACTGGATGTTGCAAACTTGTTTATATTCATTTTTCAATTCTAGTGATTAAAATTACAGCTCTTATAGTAAGTAATTCTACTAGAAGATGTTTTGTCTCAGGTGCTGTTTCTAATTAAAATTCCCTGTTTACTGAGGGTTTCTTTACCTACGGGCCATTTTTGTTCCTCAGCCCATGTTTTCATTTTTGTGAGTAACATGTAATAGTAGCTCTCTAGTACATAGTCTCAACAGGTAGTACTATACTTTGGATTTATATCTCAAAAAATTTTAGTTATTAATTCTTCTGCAATAGAAGAATCACTCTCCTAAAAAATACATATGGAAGGATCTAAAAATGCATATATATAGTTTTTGTTTTGGATTCTCTTTACTCTTAAGTACCTTACTTCCTTAGTGGTGAATAAAGCCAATTCAGAACAATCTTTGTAATTTTAAAATCTTCTCCCTCACTGAACCATGAATTAGTTTAGACTGGAAAGGATCTCTAGAAGTACCTAGGGCCACCTGCTCAAAGTAGGTCTAATTAGATGAGTTTGTGCATGGCCATGTCCAGCCGAGTTCCGAGTATCTCAAAGGATGGGGATTTCACAGCTCCTCTGGGCAACCTGTTTCAGCGTCTGACCATCCCGCACAGTAAAACTCATTAGCTTGCTGCACACAGCAGTTGAAAGTTAAATATAGCCTCTGCGTTTTGCTTTTTTGCTTACTGACAACAGCTTTTTCATATTTTGTAGTATGTTAGCTTGAGCTGTGCTTGTCATGTCGATGACTTGTGTCAGGGATTCTCAAACCATTTCATAATGACACTAAAACTCAATATAGATGGACCACAAATTAATCACATTATTTGCTCAGTGTTCAGATTCAATGGTTGAAACTGCATTTAAGCGAAAATATTAACATCAATTTTTACACTGTGCAGTTAATTTGGGTTTTTTTCAGCTGGGAAACTGGGGGAGTAACAGTATAAAGGTAAGTCAGAAAACAACGTATGAAATCTGGTATTTACCTATAACTTCTGTTAAAGTCATCATTATCAGACCCATAATCTCTGTGAAGTGAAGGAGATGAGGAGAAATGAGGTTCTGGTACATTTTCATGGGAAGAAAAAGACTGACTTCTGCAAATAACCAAAAGAATAACATGTTAAGAAGAGTACAAATGTTGGTAAGCTTTTGAAAAATATGTGTCTATCCAATGAGATAAAAATCTTTTTACTTTTAATTAAAAGTTCCTTACAAGTTTAATAAAAACTATCTCAATTGTATTAACAACTCAAAATGGCATGCTTCATTGTAATGACAGAATATCCTCTCTTTCAGCTGTACAATGGAAGATACTAAATTTAACTTTACTAGCCCAACAAATATCTGAAATACGTTCTGAAATATTAAAAATACTTGGAAATATTATGTCAGAATCCAATAGGTTTACTAATAAGTGATATATGTATTTGGGAGAATATGATGCAAGTTCAGAAGCAAAGGGATTTCTAACAAATTATTAACTCATGGAATAAACAAATGCAAGTCAAACTTCCCTGTAGCATTACTGTTTATCTCTATTTGGCTGAGGGCATAAATAAAATTTCTTATCTTCTGTCTTGAGGATTGCTTTTTAAAATGTAAGTTTCCACACAAAACAAAGTGGGACAAAGAGTTTTGTTTCCAGCTGACTCTAAAAAGGTAAGGGAAACACATAAGCTTAAATTTAAAGAAGCACAACCTTCTAATTTAGGAAACATTGGCTTTCAAAGCTGCAACACTCCAACTTACAATCAAACCTTTCCGTAAGTCAAAATAAAAAGACTGAATTAGCTGATCATTAATATATGATTTTAAAAGGATGATTAATTGCTTTAAAATGAATTTATTTTTTAAAATTAATTAATTTGAAATTTAATTTTAAAGTGCTGAGATTTACATTTTTATTCTCTAATTCTGGTCTTACAGCTCAAGGACGCTTTACCTGTCTGAACACCATTCACGTGGCAAGTCATCGTGACCCGGATGATCATGAAAAGGTCTTGGCCTTTGTCCATGCCCTTTATTAACATAATCAAAATCTTTTAACTGAGTTTGTTCCTGTAAGTCATCATAAGGCTGATGGTCATGAAACGGTCTACGCCTTTGTCCAGGACCTTTATTATCATAATCTTTTAGTTGCATCTCTGTTTGTAAGTCCTTGCGAGGCTGGTGATCATTGAAAGGTCTCAACCTCTGCCCACGACCCCTAGTAACAAATTCAAAATCTCCCAATTGCATCTGTGGCTGTAAGTCATCATGTGACTTACAGTCATGGAAAGATCTCAGTCTTTGGCCAGGACCTTTGTTGACACACTCTAACTCTTTCAACTGCATCTGAGTCTGAAATTCGTCATGAGATTGGTGGTCATGGAACGGTCTTCGTCTCTGGCCACGGCCCCTGTCACCAAAATCATCATCCTTTGACTGTCTGTCTGCCTGCAAATCACTGTGAGACGGATGGTCAGGAAAAGATCTCTGCCTTTGTCCACGGCCTCTGTTAAATTCAATGTCCCTCAATTGTCTCTCTGCCTGTATATCATCATGAAACTGGTGTCCATGAAAAGGTCTCAACCTTTGTCCAGGTCCATTGTTACTAAAGTCTAGGTCCTTTGGCTGCATGTCTTCTTGATAATCATCATAAAACTGGTGATCAGGAAAGGGTCTTCGCCTCTGTCCTGGTCCCCTATTGTAGTCCCAATTTCTCATCTGCATTGGTGCTCTTAAATCATCCTGAGTCTGATGGTCATGAAATGGTCTTCGTCTTTGTCCAGGTCCCTTATTAATGAAATCAAAATCTCTCAGCTGTATCTGTCCTTGCAAATCATTGTGAGAGTGGTCATCATAAATTCTTAATCTTTTCCCAGACCTGTAAAGCAGTTTTGTCTTAAACAGAACATCATACTTACAAGTGCTACAAGTCATTAATGAAAACAAGTTGTTTTAACTAAGAATTGATATGAAAGACATTGCAAATATATGGGTATCAAAGCTACTAAGAATCCAAACTGTAAATAAGATTATAAAACTTTCAATGTCATAGTAAAAGCTGTGACAAACATTCAGCTGTAATTCTATAGTGCTTGTGAAACAGGCAAAACCAGTAATTCCAAATTAATTAAAAATAATTGCAGATTACCGCAGAATAATAATAAAGGACAGGCAAAGTAAAACTCTAAAATTTTCCAAGTGAACTAATTACTTACAGACTTCTAATACCACACATGACCTTTCTTTCCCGTATCTTTTCACCGTTTCATCAATTTCTGTAAATATATTCTGCATAAGTAGGCCATATTCGTAAAATCTCTTTTAAATTTGAGTATCTATAGTATTTTCAATAAGAAACAGTGATCTTTCCTACGGTGTGGGTTTTTCGGCTTTTAATTCCATGTTTCAGCCTATTACCCCTGAAAATCTTTAACCGCTCTACAGGTCCTTCCATTGCATGTGGTGGGGGAATAGTATCTTCCTCTGAATCCCATACATCCATTCCAAGGTTACTAAGAAGAATGAAAACATCTCACATAAGCTTCCTTTTTAAAACATACCATTGAAAGACAAAAAAAGAACCACATAAAATTCTTCAGTTTAGAATGACAGAGATTTTATATGTTAAGTTAAATTTACAGACATTCATAACTTTGCAAATTTTAATCTTGTGAATTTATTTGGGAAAGGGCTGCAGGGAAACCAGAGCTGACCTAAACTACATAAGCTTGGAAAAACATCCTAAAGGATGCAAGAAAAACACCGTACCTCTTCAAAAATCTGACACGGGACTAACTTAATCATGCACAGACTTTAAAACAATTATAGCAGTAAAACAAAGGCATTCAATTAAACTGTAAAGATGCAAATCAGCCAGGTGTTATTTCAAAATTAACTGACTGCTACAAGATATCATTGGCACAAATAACTGAGGAAGATGTAAAGGTTAGCTATTCTTAGGTGAATATGATAAGCATAAAATTCTTACACACCAGGGATACAACTACTATGAACAGAGGAGTTGAGAGCAATCTTCCACTTTCCCATACTTTTTTATTCATAGAAGTGTTGTACTTTTTTTCTTTTTTAAAGTATCTGGTTCTACCATGCCAAAAACAGCGGGCAGATAATACACCTTATAAAAAAATCTTTGCAGTGGCTCCTTTCAGCTTATAATGAGAGAATACAGACACAACACACTTGTCATAGTATGATAAAACCATACCACCATTCAGTAGTAGTTTTCAGATTAAAAAAATCTTTTGAACCATATAAATTCAAAAGATGAACGAAGGAAGTACACTGCACTTCATGTTATTTGTATCAGAAGTCTTATGATACATGAGTAGTTGCATATTAAAGGTTTAAGAGGGGGTTAGTTTTGGCTTATGACTGCAAGTGACCTTTTCAAAATACCAGCAGCATACTGGAAAATCTTAACCATACAACTAAAAGGTTTTGTTTACCTTCTCATTGGTTGTGTTCTGAGATCAGTAAGATACACAAGACCATCCATGCGATGACCTCTAGCATCACCAAAAGCTAAAGAAAAAAAGATACAAGTCTAATGAAATGTGCTCAAACTGAACCACAAAAATGTGAAAGGCAAGTTCCTGTTCATCGTGAAATGCTGAATTTGAAACAGTTCTAACTTGATACTAAATACTTCAGCAAGCTGGCAATATTGCAGCATTTTTTTTAAACAACTGAAACTAGTAGTGGTAGCAACCTATGACTGAAAACCCTTCAAAGCAAAAGGGAAAAAAACGAAGAGATTTTAAGCAGCTGAAACGTACTCCTACTATGCTGTCAATTTGCTAATGCTCAAGCCTTGCCTAGAATAGAATCAACAGTCAGAGAAAATCTTCTATGGAAGCCAGCACACAAAATAACTCTTAAGGATACTAAAATAGAACTGTAGTATTTGTGAATACAATTGTAGTAATTGTGAATTACAACTCAACATGTGCCTTAGTTCAAACTGTATAAATACCTTGGATTGCTGCCTCTGGATCCCAGCCTTCAACATCTATAAGATATCTGAAGAAAAATATGATTAGATTATTGTCCCAAAGGGATTACAGATTAATATAATGATGCTATCTTTTGTGAACAATGATTTCTGTTTTTATACAACCCTTACCTACAAATAAGGTAGCCAGTTCTATTAATTCCATTAGTACAGTGAACGCCAATGAGTTTCTCTATCAAAAAGGAAAACACAGTCTTTAATAGTTCAGAAAGTGAAATTACTAAAAAATTAGTACAAGACAAAAAAAATGCCTGTACTTTTCTAGCAAAGTAATGATAAATAATGCTTGCTATTTACAAAATTATACTGTCATGCCTGTAAAAGAACAAACACATCCAGACTTTGTCCTCTTCATGCTGGATCTCTAGCAGCAGTTAGCTCACTACTTCCAAACCTGTGAAGGCTGAGATTAACTCTGCAGAATGTAGGAAAAAAGAAAGAGGAGTGATGACAGGTAAAGCGGCTGGCCTCAGCCAGAACTGCAGTAACAGGAGAAAAAGAATAAAATATGGTTTTGAAAGCAAATCTAAACAAGCAAATGTGAAATTGAGGGACTTAACTTATGAGGTTCTCATAAAACTTACAAAAACGAGAAAATAAACATAATACCTCTAGTGTCTAGGAGTATGAAATACAATACTAGAAGAATTCATTTAACTGGACTAAAAATTCAGATCATTACTGGGACGAACTGTAGAGATGAGGAATTTAGGTTCATGCATGGAGAAAAGAAGCACTCTAATAGGAACCAGTGATCTCTAAAGAAATCTTGTCTTTTTTGATACTAATAAGCTACAGGCTAAAAAGCAGAACAACTTCCTATTATTAGGGTGTTTCAAATGAGGTATTTCCAACAGAAATAGGGAAACACTAATACAGTCATGCAAGGCACTGATAAAACCTCATCCAGACTATTCCATACAATTCTAATTACCCATATTTAATGAAAAAACCCCAAATTGAAATATGTATAGAAAGGGCTACTATGATGGTCACAAAAAAAGTTTATGAGAAGAGACCTAGGAAGCTTCTCTTATTTAGTCTGTAAAACCAAGTCTGAGATACTGAATATGATAATGGGCATGGAGAACAACAATACTTAAGGGCAAAACTGGCAGAAGAATAAATGTGTATTAACTGATTGAGAGGTTTAGGCTAGATTTTAGAGGAAAAACTTTAATCATCAGCAGAACAAAGTTCTGGAAGAGAGGAAGTACTGACAGACAGTCTTTGAAATGGGACTTTGATAAATTTTTGAATGAGATAAAATATAACTCTCTGCCACAGAACAAGACAGTCACTTTGCCATATAAGTTTATTATAAGTTGGTGTCCTAACAATTCAGACACTAAAAAACCCCAGCTTCTCAAAAATCTTATGTAAGAACAATCCTGAGAAATTTTAGGGGTACTCTAAAACAGAGGGCAAGTTACGAGTAAGTTAATATAAAAATGAAAATTCTCCCAACTCTGAAGTTACATAAACCCTGCCAAAATGGTCTTACTAGCTGGAACTGCAGGTCTTCATCCAGTAACAAATTAGGAATTGATACCCTCAGTTCTGAGAATCAGAAATAATTAGATTCAACTACAGACTATTCTTTGTCACACAAAAAATCACTAGATCAAAACCAGAAGAAAACTAATAATTTCCCAGCAATTTCCCTAAGCCAAAAAAGAGCAAAGGAAGAACTTACACACTAACTTCCTGAGCAAGAACAAAGAGTTCTTCTTACACCTTTTTCATTTTCCCAGCACTTCTAATTCAGGCTCTCATACCTAAGATTTAGGTCAGACCTCAACAGAGTTGACCATCCACAGCAAAAACAGTTATACTCTGCAGCAAAAACTGTATGCACTCGGGCAGTTAATATCTCTACTTTCTCACAGAAAATGCCAAAGTAGCCACAGCAAATAGCATAAAAAACCTTGAAAGAATGGTCCTCCAATATTGGATAGACAAACAGTTAAAACCTGCCTACAAAGAATCACTAGCAAAAAAAGTGAGAAGGTAAAAGCTGCAAACAGGCTGTGGCAAAATACACGCAAATTTATTTCCACAAAAAGTGCTTTATACCACCTCAGCAAGAACTGTACTATTGCATAAACACTAAAACAACAGCAGATCCGTGCTGTGGAAACATTGACACTGTGTCTGTAACATGATTTTTAAGAATTGCTAGGATATGACGGCAATAATGGATACTAAATAAAAAAACTGCTATGTCAGACTAAACCGACTTAAGTTGCTCACACGTATCAGTGCCGATCACCAGAGAAACCCTGTGCTATTTAGAACATCCATAAAGGGCTGGCAGCTACAACACTTAAGCTGATGGTAGACAACTTGGGTCAGACAGATGAAAGCCTTGTTGCAGTTGCTTTGACACGTAACGCGAATCTAAGTATAATACTATTAGGAAGGGCATTTAAGTTACTAGTCATTTTTGAAAAAGACATGTTTTGAATGCAAAAAAAGATATGTGGTGCTTCACATAATGTATCTTATTATGACAGTAAAGTGGAAAGTGCTATGGAAAGTCTGAGATCCCTGGTGTCTTTAAATATCTATTGAAATTAATAAACGATACAGTTAGCACTGAAATAAATTTTTGGTTTTTTACAGCATAACATGCTGATATTTACCATTTCCTGCATTTTCCCACAGGAATTTTCTGACCCATTTTTTGAACTGCAGGATAGTAGCATTATCAGGGACTTCAAGCCCAACAGTATAAAGTTTCTTATACTGCACGCTTTTAGGTAAATCCTAGCAACAAGAAGAAAAACAAAAAGGTAAAAATTATTGAAGTCTTGCATCAATGAAAAACCTTAAGCAGTATCTAACATAATGCCACTGTAAAACAGTAGTTCAAATCCTGAGTAGAATCTGAAAATAATCTTGACACAATTCTAGAGAGATACACTCTCAGAAACTACCATTTACATTTCCACTTTAAAGACCTGATCTCAAACAAAGAACAGTTTCTACAGAAGACTTATTTATCCCTGCTAATAAGGCAGCACATTAACTAAAGAGACCATATTCTTGTAATTCTGTTCTAACTCATTTTACAATTATTAGCAATATTTGTCCCTCTCCCCAACAATCAAATGTATACTCAGTCACCCCCTTAATGCTTACAGCCCATGTACATTCACCGATTGACATTGAGTTATCACACTGCTATTTATTCTCCTTTTCAATAGGAGGCTGATTAATCACAATTGTTTGGACCATACTGGTAAAAAATTTGAAATTAATAAAGCAGTTTAAAAACGTACACTTTCCTAGCGGATTCCACTAAGGATCAGTAAAGAAAGACCCTAGGAATAAATGAGAACGTCTTCAGGGCACAGACTGTAAGTCTTCTGCATCTTTTCTGCAGTGCCTGGCACTGAAGTCTGTATCCATTAGTCTGAGTTACCATAATACAAAAAAGGCACAAATGCAACTAGCTGGGAGGAGTTATTTCCTCTGTGATAAAGCATTTAGTTTCCATTGGAGACATGAAATAAGTCTAGATGGCTCACTTGTCTATTCCAATTCAAGGTAAGCAAATGCGTAAATACTTTAAAACAAAGGTTGCAGTAACTAATTTGTTTTGTTATTATGCTTGTATTACCTTAACTTCATAGTATCGTGTGGTATATGTTAAATCAATAATTAATCCAAGCTCCACATTTAGGGCTTTCATTGCAGCAATTAAGTCTTTTGGTGTAAATTTCTGGGTTGGGGTCAGCCTCTGGTTAATTGCCTACAATGAAAATGGAAAAGAAAGATTTTCTTTTTAAGTTCTAATAACACAACATTTGTAATAGTCAGCTGTTTTAATTAGGACTAGGAAACATCAGTATTCAAAATGGAATGTTTACAGTATCAGAACTATATCCTTGTATTACATGGATAAGAAATGAAAAGGAACTAAATAAAAAGGAAGCAAGAATTCATTGTATATTCCTATTCAGATGAAAATGCAAGAAAATGTGTGAGAACTTCCACTTGTACAATGTTAACAAACATTATTAAAATAAGCACTAATTTGATACACAAAAATCCTGCAAAATGCAGCATGTATATACTGATTTTTAAGTAACTAAACATCAGCAAAAAGTAAACCACCACAATCCCCTTTCCCCCAAACATACTTTGCCCTGCACAGTAACACAAAATTGTGTGTTTCACATAAAACATTATGTTGTGACACAAGAGTTCATTTCTTCTAGAGGTTTTAACTGTCTCCTCACAAAGCCTGCAACGCTACAGGCTTCGGGAAAAGTGGCTGGAAAGCTGCCTGGCTGAAAAGGACCTGGGGGTGTTGGTCGACAGCCGGTTGAACATGAGCCAGCAGGATGCCCAGGTGGCCAAGAAGGCCAACAGCATCCTGGCTTGTATCAGGAATAGTGTGGCCAGCAGGAGCAGGGAGGTGATTGTTCCCCTGTACTCAGCACTGGTGAGGCCACACCTGGAATAGTGTGTCCAGTTTTGGGCCCCTCACTACAAGAAAGACATTGAGGTGCTGGAGCGTGTTCAGAGAAGGGCAACGAAGCTGGTGAAGGGTCTGGAGCACAGGCCTTATGAGGAGCGGCTGAGGGAACTGGGGTTGTTTAGCCTGGAGAAGAGGAGGCTGAGGGGAGACCTTATCACTCTCTACAACTACCTGGAAGGAGGTTGTAGTGAGGTCGGTGTTGGGCTCTTCTCCCAAGTAGTTAGCGATAGGACGAGAAGAAATGGACTCAAGCTGTGCCAGGGGAGGTTTAGGTTGTATAGTAGGAAAAATTTCTTCACGGAAAGGGTAGTCAAGCATTGGAACAGGCTGCCCAGAGAGGTGGTGGAGTCACCATCCCTGGAAGGGTTCAGAAAACGGGTAGATGTGGCACTTTGGGACATGGTTTAGTCTAGTCTACCCTTGATTGGTTTAGTGTGGACTTGGTAGTGTAGGTTAATGGTTGGACTGGATGATCTTAAAGGTCTTTTCCAACCTAAACGATTCTATGATTCTCAATGTTGTGCATTTTTATCCCCGCTTCATCTCTTGGCAGGGTGTACTTGCATGTCATTTAGCACTGGGAAACATTAAGTAAGACTAAAATACAGTGACTAAGAAAGCTGCATGTTGGTAGGTAATGAATAATTAATTTCATTTGACAGAAACAGTGGGGAAAAATGTTTACTCACCCTATTGCAGCTGTGTTTTTTGAAATGTGTTCTTCACTCTAGGTATGAAAATGCCTCATATATGCAAGACTGGATTTTCTCTAAACAGTGCACTTGTCCATTGTGAGAGCCTTTTGACACAGGCTCAGCCACAACCAATAAAGACAGTGGCAAAAGATGCAGCAGCCTCAACCACCTCTCAGTTCCTTTGTCAACAAGAAATTCAAGCAGACTAGACGCAGAACTAATGGAAAGGAAGGCAGCCACAGACCACATACCTCTTAAAACCCTAGATGCTAGAGGGTAACTAACCATTCCTTCTTTTGACTGTACAGATTATCATCTAAGACGCTAGCAAGCACTTGTCTCGAGTCTGGAAACAGAGACAGGAAACCAAATTAAAGAATAAACAGCAGGACAGTCCTGTCAAAGCTGGTATGTGATTAGGAAGCTTAAGCTAAAAAGAGTAGCGTAGAAAGCATATAGAAGTATTCAGTCCTATGTATTTCAGATACTGGTGCACTGCTGCAAAAAACAGTGGAGGTTGTTGAGGTTCAAACAAAATGAACAAGAGTCAGTTATCTCACCGCTATTCAGCGGTGACTTTTAGTAAAAACCAAAACTGAACTTACTAACTTTGAGGTGACAACAGTGAATGTGCAAAAGGTCTATGTTAGAAAATTAAAGTGAAGTCACACAAACTGAGGTGGAATACAAGTTACAAAAATAAGGTATCTCTAAACATACTGCTTGACTGAGTAAACAGTTAAACGTGTTATGAAAGACTAAGTTTTGAAAGACTATCTGGAGTTTTCTGAAAAACTCCTGCTGAGTATTCAGTAGTTTAGATGTTCAATTGGGCTCTGAGAATGTGAGAAATCTGTAAAAATTCTAAAATCCTTCTATGGCATGGGAAAGAACTTGCCCAGTCCTTACTATACTACAATGTTACTGCTAGCATTACAGTGATGATCTGAAAGGAAGGACAGAAAATCCTTCCAAGTAAACCCATGACCTTAAAGCCTTTACTAGCAGCACATCTGCTAAAACAGTAACCATTGAGTCTTGACATACTGAAAATATGCTTTCTCCCTTTGGGTGAAATCACCAATCATCAATTTCCTAATAGGTAACAAAGAAGGAAACCGCTGCGTATTTAAGAGGTCTGTTCCACCAATTTAATAATAGGACCTCTGACAAGACTATGACCAATCATGTCTTCAGTGTTTCCAGACAGATTTACTGACCTCCACCTTCTTTGCAAAGACATCACAGTTTAGCCAGTTAGCATTTTATGTGTATTCTGCCACAAACTCCATGAGCTTCAAGATCCTTGGTGTCAAAGGAACCAAACCATCATACTAAAGCTGTAAAAGCAGCTGCAGGAAGCAAACCCTGCAAGCATTCCACGTCTGTCATTGCGGAGAAAAGTGAACTGAATGGTGACTGAAAACGTCATGGGCACTAATCTACCCAAATAACCAAATTTTTTGTATATGAGTACTAGAGTGCAATCTGTAGACTACACCTTAGACAGAATATTTACTCTTAACTGCTAAGGTCATGTTTAGCCACCAAACTTTAAAAGAGCTTAGAAACTTTTATTTCCTGTGTATCTGAAGCAAGGACTTGTAAGAGTTAATTTATACAGCACTTGTGTTAATTTATACAGAAGGGCAAATTTGCCCTACTTGCCCTAATTTGCCCAACACCTCAATCCACCAACAGAACGGAAGAGTCTGAAGAAGAGCCTCCACATTTTGTATTGTCACAAAAAACTAAAAGATCTGATGCAGCATATTTAACAGATTAAGATGGCACTCCATGTTAGTAAGAATCCAAAGGAAGTACTAACACATTAATAGAAAAAAAAAATCTATGAAGACTTAGTTTTTAAATACACTGGATTCCTCCAGATCACTGAAGCTTTTTGCTTATGAAATTGGTAATCTGAAACAATTTTTGAAGTAGTGCTGTGGCTGGTATCCTTTAATGAGTGCTTGATTTCTGTAAAATTATATTTTGGCTTACATTGCCATGTTATTCATATCATAACCCCTGCCATATGATTTTCTTAGAACAGTCGTGAAAAGATGTTAAATAAGATAATGAATTTAGGCCACTTAATAGTAATCAAATGAATCATGCTGATTGGTTAGAGATTTTTTGATTTTTAAAAGATAAATAAAAAGAGTACCACCAAATACAAGTTTTAAAAAAAAGAGGAAAAAAATATAGAATATTATGTAAAAAAGCCACTAGTAGATGACTGGAAGGTCTAAATCTGAATAAATTACTTTTTCATAAAACATCCCTGAAGTTTGCATGAATATTCATGCTATTCCTCATTCCTTTTGCACTGTATCTAATAGAGCCAATCTGTAGTTACTTTTTATACATACCCCTTTTAAAGGTACTTTGAATGCAATAAATCTAGTTCCTGGTATAGGCTGTCCAACTGGTGTCAAACTCCGCCATCTGTAATGAAACAAATATTTATTTTAAAATATTTTCAAATTACATGATGCAACAGAAGACACCCACATCTTCATGTAAAACTTCTTTAAAAAAAAAAAAAGGTATTTCCTCTTAGGATTAAAACTTTGTTAAAACAAAGCACAGAAAAATTATGCTCCTTTAAAACTCTAATAACAGTTATTTCAAATTATGCGAAGTATCTTACAAATATTAGGCAAATCTGGTGCCGTATTTCACAGTTTGAATAGAATAGTTATTTCAAATGTCTCCAAGCAGACAGATATGTTAGTTATCTTTTTTTCTATGATGGGCCATGCAGCTACTAGCATAATATATTAAGATTTAGATTTCCAAACTGCAGGATCCAATAGTTCCTAAAATTCCTTGACCACATAAGCAAGAAATCATAACTGATGTGCACGAGTTTGAAAAAATGACCAATTAAATCCCGATATGTAAGTAAAATCTTTTTTAAAAATCCATCTTCCATTAGTAACCTGCCTGTTTCACCAAGGAACTAAGATCTTTTTAGAATAACTAGAAAATTATATATTTGAATAAAATTAATAGATTAGCATTATTTTGGGATAAAAGAAACAGGGAGTGGCCTAAGATGCTGGAAGAATATCAACAGGATATTGCTACAGCACTGATCAGGGCAGAAACTTATTTAGCACACTACACAGCTTAAATAAAGACATTTTTATTGTTTGCAAGTCTAAAGTCAGGAGCCATATAATAAAAATGAATCTTTATTCTCCGTAGAGCACTACCACAAAGAAAATAATTCTTAGAGATTATGTGCATGATTGCTCTTATTATACAGTAGAATTATGTCCCCAAATCTGCAATTATTCCATGAAGTGCTTTCAAGGTATCATCAGGACATTTGAAAACAGTCTTTTTCCTTCCTCCTTCAACTTCCAAAAAATTTCTCCCCTCAAAATGGTAGGACAGCATTACAAACAAGTAGTATCAATATAAAGCAATGCAGACGGGTAAGTTTCAACAGGCAAAAAAGTATTCTTATATTTGGTGGAAATTTTTCAACTTGGCTGAATCAAACACCTTTAAAAAGTTGTCATATGCTTGCATCAATCATTTAATGGACAATGAAATGCAAAGTTTACTTTTATTAAAAATACAAATCTTCTAGATTTTGCAAATGTGTTCACTTTGTAATATGCTTCTTTTTCAAAGAAACATTCTTGACTGCACTTTCTCTTGGTACTTCGAAAAATACAGAGAATACTCCATCACACCAAAACGTACCAAAAATCACCTACTAATACGAAGATTTGTTACAACATTCAAAATACTAGTAATTCCAAAACCACAAAGAACTGGTATTCACAAATTCTACATTGTACTGAAAAAACTCTTGATGTATCACATTTCAGAGATTTCAGGTTTTTTAAAAAGTATGAAAAGCTTTATCTGAAGAGGAAAGTAAGTCAGTCAGCAGACCAGTTTTACCTTCAGAGAAGTAACTTACTAAATTTAGGACTTTCATTTCTTCTCCTCACATGAGGACAGATTATCTCTATGACCTCGGAAGATGCAGCTGGATAACTTAAAATCTACATGGCGTTTTTGCATTTTCAGCTTGTACCTCAACTATTAAAATACAAAACATCTTCATAAGATTCTTTAACACTGGTGCCCATCCACTTACAATTTTCCGAATTAATGTTTAAATTAATCTCTCCCTTTAAAGGGAGCACCCAACAGCTTCTAGATTCCTTTCTGATTTCCATAAAACCACATCATTTATGAAATAAACTGAATACTCTATTTTAAATAGTCTAAAAACTGAGTATTTTGCTTTGTTCACAATTCCGATATGGGACCATAACAAAAACTACATGTTGGCTGGCAAAACTCTCAATGAAATATCCATAATTCTACTTGTCATAGTACATAAATAATAACATTACCATTCATAGATGCTTGGAAGTAACAAAGGAAACACAACATGGTGACTGGAAGCATAATTGATACTAACAAATCATGTAACCATTTACTACATCACTGTCTTTAGCACTAACTTACCTTTCTTGTCTTCATCATGAGCTAGAGAACAGATTGAAGCTCACAATGTAGACATACAGATGCTTAGTTTAATAGATAATGAAATAACAAAAGGGTAATAATAACTCATCATTAGGAAGGCTGTTGCAAACAGCTGTCACGTAGAAGACAGACACAAGGTGAGACAGTATAAGGGCAAGCTAGAGATTAAATCACTAAGAGGTGTTTGGAGTAAAACCTTTTACTAAATTCCAAATTATTGCAGGAACTTTGTACCTCATAATTGCAACAAGGGAACCTTAGCTTAGGATACAGGGAAAAAAAGAGCTCATTCTCAATCACCGTAGTTTGAAAAGCATTGCTCAAAAAATTACGTATCGTGTATTATAGAAGAAAAGTGTTCTAACTTGAGAAATGTTCCCAACTGAATTTTCAAGCTTGTAAACTTTGTGGTCTGGTAGTTGTACACTAGTTGTAAAATATGAAAACAAAAATCTGAGACTATTTAATCCTAGTTTAAGATAGATAAATTGCATATGAATCAATTAAGATCATAAACAGTGTAAATGGACTGAAAATATTACGGAAACTAATAAAAACCACAACATAATGAAATACCTTAGCTGCAAGAAGTGTTCAGTTAAAAATGAAACAAAATCTGAGAAAACCTGTGAAATCTGCCCTGTGCATAGTTTATCTCATTCACTTCATCTTAGAAAGGTACTAAATACTGTGAACTGTATTTAGATGTATATTTAATCTGAACTGTTAAAATTAATGACAAAATCAGGTTTAATACCAGCTCCTGCCTCTTGCTAATTCTAATAACTCTGGAAATTACATGCCTTTATTTAAAACAAGGAAATACTCTTCCTGCTTTTGAACTTCCGAAGAGAATGAGAAAATGGGCTGTACCTAGACATACAGAAAGTAGTGCCGCAAATGCTGTCATTGAAATAAAAAAAAGGATACAGTATATTTTCTTCAACCTTGTTCAACTACTCTTTCGTGTTACCTCTACCAATAAAATGTACAAAATACTTTACAAAAGTAGGATTTAATCTGGTAGCCAGCCATCTTGACATATACATGTTTAGAAACATTTTGAAGGAAGGCAGAAGTAAAAAAAATCCCAAGCACAAAAGACTAATTACCTTATGTAGTAAGACAATTTAAAAGATACCATAAATTAGAAATTCAGATCTTTTTTAAGGTGCTTTCTCTTGGAAAACTGAGTGGAAATCTACCATGATTATAATAAATACAAGCAATTATGAGCCAATAAGAAATGATCAAAAAAAGGCTTAAAAATCTTATTTTCTTTAATTAGCAATGTAACAAAGACTTTGTAAAAATTCTGAATTTTTTTTCAGATTAAGGGACTAACAAAACAATGCACCAGGATTACACAGTTTGTTGTCAGACCTTAATAAACTTGGCGTTTTATTCTCCTGTTTTTAAAGCCATTTAAATCCTCCCAGAAGAAAATATGCAAAATCAGCGAGAAACTCAAAGGCTGCTGACAGTTCAATGGTAGAAAATGAGCAGAAGGCACTCTTAATCAGAAAACATAAAGTGTGTGTGTGTTCCATGTTATCTTTAAAATGATATTTAGAAAGGAAATTTCAGCATACTGCTGCAAAACTAAAAAATACCTCAAATTAAAACCAGCAGATTGAAATTAAGTACTTAAGAGAGAACAGCACTTGAGTAAAAAGTGACATACTGCGCACACATGATACATTGTCAATTACAGCTTTATTCTTCTAAGTTTTCAAACAGGTAAACAATCCACAGACTACATGCAGGTCAAGACCTGAAAGTCAACAAACCATATAAATTAACCAATTATTTAACTATTTAGCTTTCACAGCTCCCATGTCTCTATCATGTTTTGTATTCATCACTCCCCAACTACCCTCAATTATCTTAAAACACAGGGAGAATTCTGCTTGCTGTTCTAAACAGAAAAAAAAAATCACTTCTTGGTTGAGAAAAAGTGTTAAAATCAAACTAAAAAATTGTTCTCCTTTCCCTCTGAAATTTCTGTGATGCTTGAATGGCTTCCAGTTAAATAAATAAATACAATTATTATTGATACTAAAGGCTCTAGTCAGCTAATCTGTTAGAGGTTTTTAAGCCTAGTTTACATGAAAATGTACTACTCTGCTTATCCATTTTAATTAAAATGAAAAGCAAGCATGTATTATTGTCTTTTTCTTTAGTCTAAAAATTTCAGAGATATTCAGTAAAACAACAGAAACTAGCTTCATGCATCCTACTAAAAGTTTACAAGATATGTGATCTAGATTAACCCAAGAATCTAGCAGCAATATGCTTTGTGACAGCAGCAACCTCTGTGTATATGTTGAAATGGTGTCTGTTTGACAACGAAAGAAAAAAACCAAACAGCAACAAACTTAGAGAAACACTTTTAAAAAACCAATCAGTTCCAAGACCAATCAACTAAGGATCATCAACAGGGCCTGCACAGCAGCCTCCAGCTTCAAGCGGGCTAACAGAAGACATAGAAATGCCCCTGATAAAGACGAGCTTACAGTAAATTTGAGTAAGGCAAAATTTAGAATTCATCCTGAAGCCTCTTTAGTTAAGCTCAAAGGTACATTGAATACCAAGATAATAATCCAAGCAAAGAACATTATAATTGCTATATTTTGCATAAATCTTGCTATTAAAAACAAACAAAAAAAGTGATAGCAAAGACGTTTATCTAAGTTTTTAAATACAAAACTACATATCAATGAACTGCAAAACACAGCAGAGATTGTAAATATCAGTAATATCTGTAATTATTCAACACAATTTTGAAATCTAGTTAAGAAAACTTCATTCATTTGATATGAGCATAATTTGTAGTTGTTAAAGTAAATCTTAGTATGAATCAATTCTAAAGCTTAGAAAATTATACTGGAAATAATAGCTACTATATCCCCTTAACAGAAACGTTAAACTAAACCATGACAAAACTGTGTGTTCCACACCTGGCTCTAATAAAAGTTTTAACTCAAGCAGATAAAATATGCAGCTGTATGTAATTCATACTCAATCATTTAAACAGATGGATACCTTACTATTTACTTTCTTCTGTGATTATTTTAAAGAAAAATACTATGTTTCATATAGAGATACTATGTACATTTTTAATGGAAAGCTAGACAAGAAAGCTACTAAATAATTCATAGGTACAATATGATGGAAACACTGAATTGGAAATAATTTGACAGTTTCACGTCTTTAGTTTGTCAGATCTCAGTGAATCTGACAGAGTTACATAAAAATATAGAGCACAACAAACTGTGAACAGATACCCTAAAAGTTCGTTATGGCAAACCAGTTAGAACCTGCTGGTCTTTTCTGGAGCCTAAACCCACTTCTAGATCACCTATGAAACTGATGTTTACATTAGCATATGTAAAAAAATAAAAAATAAAATCTCTATATTGTAATGCCTCTACAGAGTAATTATGGTATGGGACAGGGAAAAAACCTTAAGGAAGTATGCTCTCTTATCTTACATTTCCGTGTGTAACATTCAGTTCAGCAATAACGCAGAGTAAGAGAAACTAGTACTGAACGCAAGCCATCAATTCAGAATGATTTTCATCTGATAGTTAAAAATATCAGTGTTAGTACAACAGTGTACAACATTACTCAAAAGCTACAGTGTGTGGAGAAGTAAGTTCAGAGAGCAATATCTGAAGCTATGCTTAACAATTCAAGGGTTTCTACAATTCTGGAGCCCCTCATGAACATATGTGATTATGAAGCAGTTATAAGTTTAGAACTTACCTGAGAAAGTGAATTCCAAAACACTGAAAAAGGATAATTATTGTAACTGTAGAGGAACTCAAGTCTGAAATACTGTAGCAAGATCATTTAGAAAATACTACTTGGAACCTCTTCTCCTTTTTTTGGCTACTGGTACTGCATAATATACACAAAGCTTTATTTTCCAAGTGGCTTCCATACCTCTATGGACACCAGATTCAATACTACTCTGTTGAAGAAAAGATAGTCTAACAAAGACAATAGCGTGTCAGATACTGTGAAGAACCAGAGCTAGACTACATGGTGGAAACTGCAGTGCAATGGGTCACTTGAATCCCTCTCTTATACTGATATCTACGTTACAAAATTGCTTCTCCAGCACGACTTTCTCGGATTGAGACTGTAATGGACACTGTATGCCTTAGCTTGCTCCAAGACATTACTGGGAAAATGGAGAAATGCTTTTTGCTACAAAGGGATACGGGAAGTCTTACTTCTAGTCCACCTCCTCCTCTCACTGCTGGAGCAAAGACTGTGCAAATAGCATCAGATCAAACATTCAGGGCTCGGGCTGAGTGACAGGGACACAAGAAGAAGAGTGGGCCAAGAAGAACAAGGTACAAGAACGGCAGTGCAGATCCAGTGGCAACACTGGCAATTAATACCATTTTAATATTACTTTAGGTGCTGAGTACACTCAAAGTGATATCTAGCAAGGTTGTGCAGTGCTATAGCACAACCCTTACATAAAGGCAACTTTGATTATACTGCAGACACAGTATTGTAAAAGGTGATAGTAATTAGCTGACCAGTTTAAAAAATTCACCATTTCTTGTTTAGTTGCAGTATTCCTAGCTACTTATAACTTAAACCTTGAGTTTTATTGTATTGCTTTAATTAGCATAATGGAATTTGGATTAAAACTGTTAAGAACTGCATAAAGAATTGAGGCAGTAACAGAAAGACAATCTTAAATGGCTGTATGTAGTGTGACCTTTTTTTGTATCTACTACTGTGTTTCTCTTGCAGCATCATTAAAAACAAAACAGTTACTGTCAGATTTATTGCTATTACAATACTCTGATATGACTGAGGTCGTATTTCCATAGCACGCTACTGTCTGGACTGGTCCTTATGCTATAGTGTACCACAATCTCACTTCTGCCAACAACTATTTCTGGGGCCAGTAAATTGCACATGCAGGATCACCTAGGCTAAAAGTAGATTTCCTCAAGTCCTCTTCCAGGGTTCACTGCTTTTTTCCTGGTATACTAAACTAATTCACACTGAACAACTACAACGTGCCATGCTAGCACAAGGATGACATCAATACACTGCTGCACGAGATTGGGAAACCAGCAATTCCTTAAACTCCTTTACTGCCAAAAATGCAATACTGTGGATGTCTAGCCTGATTTGTTAATAGTATCAAAAAGTAAGTATCTGGAGAAGCTGAAAGCACTTCAGTATCATGAGTGTTGTCAGATGATAACACTAACTTTATAACCAATTACTCCACAGATGTTTCTCTCCTTGAAAGATACACAGGTTTTAGTTTCCAATCACAGAAGCCAAAAGTACAGTCCACTGCTAGTTCCGTACTTAAGAGAACAAATGCATGTAGCCTGAAAGCTGCTCCAGGTCAAATGCACGGGCGAAAAAGAAGGGAGAAATGAGCACCTGATTCTCAAAGTTTTAGTAATAATTTCCAAGTACGGAGAAAACAAGGACAGTTATTCTTTCAGGCTTTCTGCATTACTGCTTGCAAACCTAACCCACTTTAGCTCAGTTTTGTCCAACTTTTAACTGAAATTTTATAGAAACTTTCAGAGAAAGACATGCTTAAATAGCTTTTCTTAAACTTTATTCTAATTTTAATCCCCGAGTTTGTCAGCTGTGAAAAAACTTTAAAGTTTCTTGAAGTTATTTTAATTTTTTTTTTCATTTTTTGTTTCTATTTATTGCTTTTAGGCCAACATATTTGGCAGGAAATCATGCTTTTTGTATTTTATTGCTCCTCCTATGAATTTTCTTAATAAACTTACTTAGACTTCCCCTGAAACCAGGATGTCAACCTTTCCTCAAATAATATATAAATGGCAAGTTATTGTCCCATTACGGTGTGCCTTTATATCTCAGTACATCCTCCTATCCGAGAAGTTTGTATTGATGTTAGCAGTAACACATGAGCTAAACTTTTAAACTTGGACTTCCTTTTTTTGTTTTTTCTATAGAGCTGGAGAGTAGAACTATATCTGTTTGAAATGAGATCATTCTGTGGTCTCCATATGCACTCCCAATCAAGTCATAAGAAAGCCTGTATAGTGCATTTGGGTTTTTTTAATTATTATTTTTGCCAGTAAAACATTTTTGTTGTCCTCTTGTTAAAAACAAAAACACGGGATGTTTCTGGACCTGAAGCCATGAAAATACTCTTTGATCACGCACATGCAACGACCTGCTCCCATCTTATCAGCTCTTCCCCCAATCCTGGTAGCAAACACCCGAGTAGTCAGAAGGATGGACTGCTCTCCCATTTCCCCAGTAAGTATACACCTGGGGGTAAGAAGGTTAGGAATAAGGGACTGTGTTTGGCTGATGAAGGAGAAGTGTTCACAGACAGGCTGGAGCGTTATACTCACCTGGGGGATGAAGGGTTGGGTTGTTCCTGTCTTGGAGAAGATACCTGCCTTACCTGGCTGAAGGTGGTGAAGATGCTTGTGGCAAGAAAGTGCCTAGGGCAGTCAGTGCCCCTTCTCTGTGGGCAGAACTGTGCCCGCTCCTACCTCTTGCTTAGTGTGAGGGATACTTACCCATCAGGGATAGTATTCTTCTTTACCATGCTGAAAGCAGGAGCAGGTAGAGCAGGATACAGCGGTGAAAGTGGGCACTGCAGCAAAGGAGAGAGAACCGCGCAGTTAACACGGTACTGATCTCTTTCTCCATCAGTGGGCCTTTTCACAGGTTTACTTTCTCAAGTAAAATAAAACCAGCCAGCTGGGGCTTGAAGCCATCCTGAACAAGTTCTGCAGCTTGCAAGCTAGCCTATTTTCTCCACTGCTATAGTACGACAAGAAGGAAAGACAACTCACCTCTCCTCTCCAGGAGGTCAAAAGAAACAGAGAGGAGAGGCAGCAGGTTTCTAACTGTAGCAGCAGCGCTGCAGGGATGAAGATCTTCCTGGCAGACCCCTCCGTCCCTCTCCTGCAGCTCGGAGCAGTCTGTTCTGCCCTTGTGCTCCCTCAGCTAAAACTCGTCTCAACGAGAAGAAGCTCCAGGCAGCTGCAAGAGGCGAGGCCCGCACCTCAGCAAGGGAAGGACCATCACCTGCCCCACTCTAACCTAGACGGGTCCGACC